GGGCCTTCTAATATATTGCAAAGTCTAATGAGGCAATGAGTTCTCCAGTATTTCTTGTGGGATGTGTATCTGTGGGGTGGATCCCTCATACGATCCCTTGTAGATGTGCTAGGGCACCACCAGGCAGAAACGGATGCTGGCAGCATAGTGAGGTGAAAAGTCCAACTCAGAGGTCCAGCAAAACCCAAGCACAACGGTATGTCTAGCCCCCTGCTCTTTATGTTTAGCTGGTGTGGCATATAATATAACCTACTATATATTTGAAGGAGTTTGTCTCTGTGCGTACATGAGTGTCTGTCTGTCTGCTCAAGAACTCCTCATTAACGGTAAGAGCTTTGTTTCTCTTGTACTGTTTCTAACCCTCATGTCATGGCCACTTTCTTTCTGGCCTTCCAGTGCAGGAGGTCTGGAGCCACTGACTTTTATTAGGGCCCAACTGAGAACAGGGACCCAGTGTGGAGACATGCCTAGCAAAACACTTCTTGCCCTCAAGAACTAAGTCTCAATTGATGAGACCGATAAAAGGTGGGAGAAGTGACTTCCCAGGGGTAGCGCTGAGAATAGAGTCCACACCGCCTGACTCCAGATCGCTTGACTCTAGCCACTAGATCACACTGCCTTTGCCTGTTCCTAACCCAGGAGAGGCAGAGTAACATATGGCTCTGTCTCTTCCAAACGCCAAGCTTCCGGGACGCTCCCCACCCTTCATGGTGTGGCATCACGCTGCCCTAGCCTCATACTTTCACCCTCAGCCCATTCAAAGTGTCCTGCTTCCTGGTTTCGCTGTTTTCCATCCTCTGTTGAAACAGGTGTTCATTTAAATACATTCCTTGTTCTTTGGGTTTTGTTTGCTCCTGCAATGATGACGTTGGCTGGAGATAGAACCGCGGCTGGTGTGTGCTTGCTGTGTCTGAACTATGCAGGCTTTGCCTTGGGAATGCCGCTCCCTAACCACAAACATTGTGTACGCAGCCAGCCTGAGGAAGTGTGACCTTTGCAGAACATGGTGCATCTCCACGTCGCTTCGGGAGAAGGTAGCTGAGCTCCTGATGCTTAGTGGGAGCCGCGGGCTCCTTGTGCTTTTGATTTTTTTTTTCTGCAGGCCGTGAGCGTATTAGGACAAGAACAGTGCAACGCTTGGCATGCTCAGGTCACGGGTCTGTCACACTGGTGTCCCCTTTCCCCTCCTGTCAGCTCCCATCCTGGGCATTCCAGTTGAGATTTGAGAAGATACCCAGCTTAAATCACAAGAGATGGGTGTGGAATGGGGCCATCCCAGAGGCTGTATGTACAAAACCCAGGTCTGGGTTCAGGTCTGGATTGTGAACCCATCTGCATTTGCGAGAATTGCTGTCGATAAACCTGAACCGGGAAGTTGGGGTCGCTCTGGCCTTCGTTTTCATGACTAGACAGCAAGAAAACTATTAGGTCCCAGAGCGCTAGGGGGAAAGCCTCTGCTGAACTTCCTGAGAGATGCGACAGAGAAGACACCACCTGGGATGGGGGAGAGAGAGAGACGAAAGCAGCTTTAAACCACCTTTGTGGATCTTGGGCGGCGGTAAGAGCTGACCAAATGTGGAGATGGGATTGAAACTGGCCCCAAGCTACTGCTGAGCTGGGGCAATACCTCCCTGCCCCCTTGCTTCTCCTGTAGGGCCCTTGTATGCATGATCCACTAGATACCGTTCTCTGTCCCTCTCCAGTGGTGTCTGGATACAGGGGCAGACGGGGAGCTAGCGAGAGTCTTGAGCAATGTACCAAGGCTTTTTAGCTGTCTGTAGAGAATCCTGCTTTTAAAATCTAGAGGTTCCAGGCTCAAGGCCTGCTGCTGACTGGCATCCTGCCAACCCGCCCTGCAGGGGCGGCCCGAGGCGGGCTGCCGGCAGCTGGCGCCCCAGGCGGAATGCGCGATCGGCGCCCCTGCCTCCACAGCCCTCAATGGCGTGACATCATCATTGGGCGCCCCGTTTAACGCAGCGCCCTAGGTGATGACCTAGTCGGCCTGTACGCACGGTCCGCCCTGTAATATTTTTAAAAAAACATGCAGCACAGGAAGCAGATGTACACGTTTTTAAAGCTGTATAGCTCTCTTCACCTGCTTTTGCCCCCGTCCCTGTTCCGTTTTTGAATCCCAAGGCCAGGATCCTGGGGCTTGCTGGCTCTTTTGGGTGGGGTTCACATCTGGCACTAACCAGCAAAGGGGTTCGCTCAGGAAAGGTGTTAATCTAAATTTACCTACTGCTTGTGGCGAACGCTCAGTGCTTGTGAGGCAGAGCAGTGTAATACCTGGTGTCCCATTTCCTTGCAGGTGCACATATTTTCCTTTAAAACAAGTGGCCAAAACTTTCTTGGCTTAATTTTTTTTTTTTTTTTTTTTTTTAAAGAGAGAATAACAAAATAATAACAGGACAGTGTGTGTCTGTTAGGCTGAGGGTGGAGAAGATGGCTGAGAGTGTTTAGGATTAGGATAGTAATAGAGATGTAGCCGTGTTAGTCTGGTCTAGCTGAAGCAAAATGCAGGACAATGTAGCACTTTAAAGACTAACAAGAAGGTTTATTAGGTGATGAGCTTTCGTGGGCCCACGAAAGCTCATCACCTAATAAACCTTCTTGTTAGTCTTTAAAGTGCTACATAGTCTTGTTTTTTGTTTTGCCTGGCATGATTTCTCTGAGATCACCAGGGCTTGAAGGTCCGGTTTTACTCACAAGAAGAATGGGTTTGAAAGTGTTGGGAATTGGGCACTCAGCATAGTGGTTTTACGCTCCTTTTGCCTTGGGGTGATCCCCGTGCAACAAAGTATTTAAGCGCTTAATTAATTTTGCTCAGGCTTAACAGTGCAAACGGGGCCCTTTGGTGAAATTAGAATCTGATTGTGTTTTCTGAAAACGATACCACCTGACACAAGCTGGAACCATCCTGCGTTTTGATTTGATGGTTTATGGATGAATTGATGTGACCTGCAAGGTCTAACATTTCTAACTCTGCCTGGGCATTATGATACACTCCTGGTCCTTTGTAGCAAGGAATGAGAATTTATACAACTCTCTAGGAGGCTTAATTATGCAGAGATACTTAGCACCCCGGCAGGGGTATTCAACGGGGAGAGTAGTTAATTTTTGGAGGAGGCTTTGATGATGTGATGCTTTCTATATGAGGTATGTGCTAAATCCTATTCCCATTTGAAGAAAAGGCCACTACCGCCCCCAAAACACCTTAGACACTGTGAAACTCCCAGATTTATTCCTTTGAATGTGCTGGAATGTGCATTCTGGCTCTGTTAGTCTCTGCCTAGCATGTCAACTTCCTGATGTATTTCTAACAGGGGCCCTGGCTCACCCACTTCTGCAGGTTGGCATATGCGGCTCAGAGGGTCGGTACGTTGGGCCACCCTGATCTATGTAAGAAAATCACTCGGACCTAAACATGGGCCGTTCTCCACATGCACCCTGCTGGACTACCGCAGACGGGGCCAGCGCTCGTACGCGTGCAGAGAACGTGAATGCGCAAAGAGGAGTTCCGTTACAATTGTGAGTTGAATATGGCGCTGAGGAAGTGGAAGCCTGGCTAGAGCCAGGTAGCTGATGCTCCTGTCATGTCAGGTGGCTGGACTTCGGCCCTCCTCTGCAAGGCCCTCCCCTCAAGAGTTTTGTCCGACATCGGATTTTCAGGGGTAGTTTTGTGGCACAAGTGAACTTGAGTCTCCAGAAATGCCTGGACCCTTTGTGTCACCTGGCTTCACCCCACTGCCCATGAGTCGTACTTGAGGCGCATATGTAAGGAGACGGCCTTTCTCTATGAAGGGAGCACAAGCTTAGAAGACAGGAGACCTCGGTCCTGATTCTCCCCTGCCCTTTGTGAAGTCATTTGCCCCAATGCCATGGGTAAGTGGATTACAGCTGACTGTGCACAGGAATAAATGCTGCACAAGGTGTGGAGCAGGGAAGAATCAGGCCCCTGGTTTTATTTCCAGCTCTGCCTATGCCAGACAGCATAGTCTTGGGCCAGTCACTTAACTTTTCTGTGCCTCTCTAAAATGTTACCTCCCTTTCTAAAGTGCATTGAGATCCTCCATTGAAAAGTCCTGCAGAAGTGCCCCCTGTTGTTGTTAATTGTGTGGACCTAGATGCATCCGCTCTGCAGCTTGCATGTTAGCAACTTGCTCTTGCTCATCTTCCGGCTTAATGACTAGAGAGCATAGGTACTGAAACTAGGGGAGCTGCCGCAGCCCGTGCCTGGATGTAGTTTCCATCAGATACCAGGGTTACAGATTGGTTCAATAGGTCTTAGCACCCCACTCCCCTGGTGCAATTTGTTCCAGCCCCACTGCTGCTAGAAAGGGGTGTATTTTAGTAAAGCTTGGATCTGGTGTGAACTTTGCAGCTAGACCCACAATTCATGGCTGAGGCTTATAAAATGGGCAAGGAAATATTTCATGTCTGCTCCCTTATCACTTATTGCTTGCAAACATCCCAGGGAATTTTCAGCTCCATTGGAAAAGTCACCCAGGGCTGCATTCTTTGCAAACCAGGCCATGGCTCACATCCATATGGAGTGGAGAGAGAGGCAAGCAGAAAGTTCTGGGGGCTAGGAAGTGGATTCTGGGTGTGTCTCAGTGCAGGAGCAGAGTGGGGGTCTGTAAAATTAGTCCTCAATGAAGGGACTCACTCTAGTGCCGCAAAAGGCTTCCAATCAAATTGCAGTGGGGGAGATCTAGGTTGGATATTAGGAAAAACTATTTCCCTAGGAGGGTGGGGAAGCACTGGGATGGGTTCCCTAGGGAGGGGGTGGAATCTCCATCCCTAGAGGTGTTTAAGTCCCGGCTTGGCAAAGCCCTGGCTGGGATGATTGAGCTGGGGTTGGTCCTGCTTTGGGCAGGGGGCTGGACTCGATGACTTCTTAAGGTCTTTTTCAACCCCTAGGATTCCATGGTTCTAATCCAATCCAATCCCGAATCCAAGCCGATTGCGTCTCACTGCTTTTTCTCCTCTCTTCCCTACAGATCGAAGAAGAGGGGAAAGCAGCCTCGCTGAGCTCCAAGCTGCGGGCAGGTGACGAGGTGGTGAACATCAATGAGGTGGAGCTGAGCAGTTCCCGGCGGGAGGCCATCTCGCTGGTGAAGGGGTCCTACAAGACGCTGAAGCTGATCATCCGCAGGTAGGCGGGCAGGGGGCAGTGGTTCATTACTTCCTCCTCCCCTTCCGCCCCCCATTACTATCCTAAACAGTCTCAGCCATCATCTCCACCTCGCCTGTGACTCGTCACCTGGGCCAGTCTGACGTGCAGTGTCCCACCATCAGGCCTGCTGACGGGGGAGCAGGGGAGTCAAAAGGGACGGTGGCTCTGCTCCACACGCTCTGCGCGGCTATGACAGCTGGGGGAAAGGTAGCAGTGAGGACTGGCTGCCCCTGGCTCCTCCCCTTCCGCCTGAGGCCCCGCCCCTTTTGGGAGAACAGAATTGGGGCCTGTGGAAGCTGTCGGTCCCCCGCCCTACCCTGTGGGATGTCTGAAAGAGCAATTTCTGCTGCTTCCCATCAACACAGCCCATCAGGGGCACCGTTCAGTGGCTTCAACACCGAGTCCCACTGCCCATGTGAAGTATCTTGGGCTTCCTAGGAGAAGATGCAGCCATGTGCTCGCTGTCATTTTACCTTGTGGATTCGGCCTGATCCAAAGCTCATTGACATCAACAGCAAGAATCCTAATGACTTCGGTGGGGTTTGGCTCCAACCTTTCCTGGGCAATTGAGGGGAAGAATGGCTGGGTCAGCGTGCAGTGGAAGATATCGCTAGGCTGGGATCTAGTGGGTAATGCAATCGAGCCTCCTGCATTCTAGTCCCAGCTGTGGCACAAATTACATGAAGTGGGACGAGTCCCTTAACCCTGCCTCAGGTTCCCCTGGGCATTCAATGGCTTTGTAATGTGTAATACTGACACGCTCTACCTCGTGGGGTGTGAGGAGTCTGCTTCATGTATGTAAATCACTGTGACTGCTGCAGAGAAAATACCTTTCATAGATGGAAGTGTTTGTGTCAGAATCAAGCCACAGACCTGGATGCAGATACAGATTTTTTGAATCTTCCAGGGACTGGGAGGGTTGGATCTGAGGTTTTGGTTCTACCACATTGGAGGGGTAGAGGCCAAAGCAAGCACTGGGGTTTTGAGCTGGGTTTGCATCCTCAGTCGCATCCCCAAAAGTGAAGGGAAGGGCTCGGTGAAATATTATGGTGCAGTGGCAGCTGGCGGCTTTCTCGTTTTCTTTGTGTGCAGGAGTTGGCTCTTGTCAGACATGGTGATTGTCAGCTGCGGTGCAGTTCCTCTTAGAAGCTAAGCTTATCACTACTGCAGTCTGTTCTGCCTGCGGGAGAGGCTCTGCTTAGCCTTGTGTTCTGGGGGGCGGAGTCAGCTATCTGTCTCGCTGGACCACAATTCCTAGTGCGGTAGGCCTGGGCCCAAGTTGGGGGAATCTGTCCTTTCTTCCAGTGGTAGCACAAATGTGCCTCGTTCTTGTTTTTTCCAGACTAGCTTCCACATGCCACAGGATGAGGCAGAACAGCATGTACAGCTCAGCCTCCAGCCCAGGGTTCTAATTACAGTTGCTTAGTTACTGAAAGAGGACATGGTCCTATTGGCTGAAAAAAATGAGCAAGTAGCCTGCTGTGTCCCACATTCCATGAGCATGATTCTAAAATGGAACCATGCAACATTTCTGCCACCACCCTTCTTTCCCAGGACAGGGTCGCGTCTCTCTTTTCCTCCCCTCTCATGGCGGGATCTATGGTGGGGGATTCCTAAATACTTTTTTCCCAATGAGTGCTGATTTGATTTGCCACCATGGCAGTGCTCTGTGTCATTCCATCACGTGATGTGGTCCACGCGCAGTAGCCGCCTTGGCGCTACATGGGCGATGATTTCGGATCTATTTTTTCCCTTAAAACATGTGGTTGTAAGATGGGATTTTCAGCTGTGCTTGGCATGGCCCTAATTCTGCTCCCACTGAAATTGAGGGTAAAACTGAAGTGTGGTTTTTAAACTTTCTGGTAAGGAGCAAAGGTACGTCCTGGTCCCCACTGAACACAGGGTTCTAACATCAACTCTGCTTCCCCCTTCCCATTTAAAGACACCCATTTTGAGCATCAGAGTCATTTAAAAATTGTGTGTGTTCAATAGCACAGTATCTCTAGAATGCAATATCAGTGAAAGGTGGTCAGACGGAATGGTTCAAATGAATCCAGGCTGCTAGCTGCAGTCCTGACCTCATAGACTGTCTCTTTTCTGGTCAACGGTAGTGTTTTGTCCTTGAAAACACCTTTATACTTGGTAGCGGCTGGTTATCAAAGCCTAGCATCCCTAGTGCTGGTCCGTTTGGTTTTATTATAGCACCTCATACCGTAGCATCTAAATGTTGCACATGTAAATAAAATCTGACCTAACAAGGACCATAGGTTATTTTGTAAAGTATTCTGCCCTTCACCCCAAGCTCACAGAGGAAGACTTGCAGACTTTTTTTGGTTTGTCCCCATCTCCAAAC